TGTGGGGGTGTGGGGGTGTGGGGCTGCCAGGAGAGCACTGCTCGCCGCGGGCAGGGCCCGGCAACCACACGGGAAAGGTCACTGCGTCCTGACCAAGCCCAGACCTGCTGTCCTCGGGGTAGCTCCTCACCTGGGCGAACCTCTCTCCGCACGCGCCCAGCTAGGAGCGCACCCGCTGAAAGTGGTCCTGGGAAGGGTTGGAGCCACACCTCTCAACCGCTTCTCACCCCTCCTCTGGTGCCTGGGTCACACGAGGGTTGGGTCCCAGAGCCCTAGACCAGCGCCCAGGCCACCAGGCTGAGTCACGGACTGAGCTTCCATACCCTGCAGCCCTGCTGGGTCTCTGCTGGCTCTGCAGAAGCTGGTCTCCCTTCAGCCTCGCAGCTGGGGTAGGAAAGCCTACATTCCCCACCCCGGTCCTCAGCCCTCCACGGGCCAGATGTCACCCAGTACCCACAGCAACCCAGAAGCCTCGCTTTTTCCAAGATCTTAAGAGAAAACACTTCCAGCTGCTGCACAGTCGACCCTTACCCTGGCCCATTTCCACCTGCGCACCGGCCCGAGGTGCGGGACACGGTAGGTGTCAGGATGAGTACCCATGCGGGCTTACTTGCAGGTTGGGGCTTGGAGCGAGGCCCTCCAGGCCCAGCCAGAGCAGCTGCAGCTGGTCCAGAGGCCACACGCATTTGGCGTGGAACCACTCCAGGCTGCCCCTCGGGTGCTCAGAGAGTGGGTGCCTGGTGAAGGCATTCCTGCCCCTGCCGTCTGACAGGATCACAGCGTGGAGGATGCTGCGGCAGGGCAGCACCATCTGGAAACTGGAACCATTAGGAATGCTAAGTGTTTTGTTTATGATACTCATGATATGGATAACAGGGCAATAATAAAAGTACCCATTGCCTAAGATTGCAGGAAAATTCCCAGAAGGAGACTAAGGATACAGTTGAGATATGCTATGAGGTGCATTTCAATGTCTCTCAGGATACAAACAATAGTGTTATTCTTCAAGCTTAAACAAGAAATATTTATCCCCTGGTTAACAATTTACACTATCCCCCCCAATCCTATCCTAAAGCCACAACCTGTACAATTGCCTAACTACAGAAAAACAATTGCTGTGCCAACAATACAAGGATCACCGTACGTAGCTTATGGTATTCCCTCTAGGACAAGAGGCTAATAAAAATACATTCCCCAACCAATAGACCCTCCTTTGCTTTACGCAGAAACTTATGATGAAAATGGAAAAACACAGTTAATATAAATGACAAATGAGTTGAGGTGTAAAGCCTGCCCTTTAGTTAAAGATTACAAAGACATAAGAATTGGTGTGATTTGACCAAGGATCAAGGAAGTTCTTTAAGAAAGCAGTTGAATAGGTCATATGAAAAAATGAAATTACCTTGAAAATTAAAATAGAAAAATGTAAAATTAACATATTTTAGAGGCACTTCAGAGTAGTAGGCTTTTTAATAACAGACTTTCACTACTTTAAGTGTTTTACTAGGATTTTAGTTTAGAAGAAAACTTACCAATAATCATAAGTATGCTTTAAAGTTAAAGGTTAATGAAATAATTATAGGTATGCTTTTAAGTTAGAAGTGAATAATAGGTCAAGAGTCATGTAGTCTAGTTGTGTCGCCTAGCACCTAGTGATTGAGGAGAAAACGTAAAAGCTTAATTATGATTGACTAAAGTTACAGAAAAATATTTTGAACAATGTACTCAATATCTTAGGTAATCAATGTATGTCAGAAAAGATTGTAATTCTTGAAAATTATGTAAATCAAAAAAGTTTCGGGCTTTGAAGCTATCCATTAACTACCTAAAAAAAACACCTGTAAAAAAGGTATAAAAATAAAGGTCCCAGGGGCAGAGAGATGTCTTCTGGAGCTTGCTCGTAACTTGCAACCTGTCATCTTGACTCCTCTTCTTCTTTCACCGATGCCACTCCTCCTTCAGGACCCCCCGGACCCTCACTCCTCTTGCCAGGGTTGGACCTGGGCAGGCGCCAGCCTGGCTCCCATAGGGATCTGCAGCTGAAGCTTGGTGCTCAGGCGAGGACCCAGGTGGGCATCTCCTGAGATCTCAAAAGCCACTAAGATACTTCCTCTCAGCAATGAATGGCCGGGGCAGGAATAAGTCTCTTCAGATCTGGCAGACAGTGGGCAGCCAGGGGACCATACCAAAATGTCCTGCCCCTCATTCTGAGTTGCATCGGGACCTGCACCACCAACTACACAGTACTCGAGGCTGGCTCTAAGTATAAAAACCTCCACAGCTCATAAAGCTGAACGGAACTAAGGTTGTGGAAACACATTAGTTTCTTGTTTAAAATAAAGCAATATGGCAGATGGTGTTCTCTTTCCTGAGTGTCGGGGAACTGGATGGCACCTGAAGTCCCATAGACATGTGCTCAAAACTGTCAGGTCTGACCGTCTTTGGTTGGCTGGCAGATTTTTGACTTTGGGAACTTGGAAGACTTTGGTTCTTTGTAGGCCGGGGTTTGACTAGGCTGGGGAATACCTGGAGGCTGGTAGAGCTTACTTCTGGGTGTGTCTGTGAGGGTGTCTCCAGAGGTTGGCTGAGAGGAAAGCCGTGCTGGGTCCACCCAATTACAAAAAGGCAGAGGAGGCAAGTCTCCCTCTGCCATGCACAGCACCCTTGGAGCTGGGACACCTTTCTCTGACCCTCAGAGCTCCAGGTCTCCAGCCTTTAGTCTCTTGGGATCTGCACATTTTGCATGACTGTTCTCCTGTGCTCTGGAGAACAATGACCAGCAGGAAACCAGTGTTGTACTGGGAGGGAACAGCAAAAGGAAGAGGCCTTGTGTTACTCAGCCTTTCCTCATTATGCCTAAATACCAGATATACACACCTTGAAGAAGGAAAAGAACCCATGGTAGACTGCTCTAGGCCTGTGGTGAGGCAGAACATCACCCTGAAGGGCAGTGGAGGAGGAAAGCTGCTTCGGAAACCGGCGGCTGGGAAGGGGGAGACGGGAGGAGAGATCCTTTCCAAGAGCACACTCCAGCAACCTGCTTCTTCCACTACTGTCCCCACCTGCCCACAGGTTCCATCTCCTTCCACAGTCCATTCCAATTATTTTTTCAAAAAAATATATGTTTTTTAGTTGTAGGTGGTGCTGAGGATTGAACCCAGTGCCTCACTCATGCTAGGCGAGCGCTCTACCTCTGAGTCACAACCCTAGCCCCCATTCCAATTATAATCCATGAAATGGATTAACCCACTGATGAATTTAGAGCCCCCATGTTACAATCACATCCAAAAGCTCCACCTCTGGACACTGCTGTGTTGGGGACCAAGCCGTCAACACTTGTCTTTGGAAGGCACTCCAGATCCGATTCATAACAGGTGTCTTTTCCCAAATGGTCAATTCAAATGCCCAATTCACAATCTGATGGTTCTGAACCCGGAAAGCCAGAAAAAAAATCAAAGCAGATTGCTAGGGACATTCTTCAGTCTTCCTCGGATTTCTGGACCCTTTTTTTCGGCACTGGGGAGTGAATCCAGGGACACTTACCCACTAAGCCACATTCCCAACCCTTTTTTGTATTTTATTTAGAGACAGGATCTCGCTTAGTTATCTAGGGCCTCTCTAAGTTGCTGAGGCTGGCTTTGAACTCCCAATCCTCCTGCCTCAGCCTCTCGAGCCCCTAATTACAGGTGTCCATCATCTGGCTGTTCTGGGCTTTTTTTTTTTAGTTCTAATCATGCAGCATGCATTTCAATTCCTTGAACACAAATGGAACACAACTTTTCATTTCTCTTGTTGTACACGATGTAGAGTTGCACCACATGTGCAGTCATACATATACCTAGGGTAATGATGTTCATTTCATTCCACCATCTTTCCTGCCCCCATTCCCCCTCCCCTTCTCTCCCTCCCCTTTGCCCAAAGTTCCTTCATTCTCCCTCCGCCCCACTCCCCTGCTCTGGGCCTTTCTTACCAGAGATTTATGAATCTCTGAAGAGTTATCATAATTGTACCAAGACACAATGCATCTGTAAATTAAGTGGGATTAATTTTCTCTGAATCTAAATTGTTTTTTCTTTTTTTTTGGTATGGGGGAATTGAACCCAGAGATGCTCTAAAACTGAGCTACATCCCCAGCCTCTTTTATTTTTGAGACAGTATCTTGCTAAATTGCCCTGGCTGCCCTGAATTTGCAACAACTCTCCGGCCTCAGCCTCTCAGAATCACTGGGATTATAGGGGCATGACACAAATTTTCTAATAATTATTAGCTAAGTGATCCATTTCTTGGTATGTGCAGTTCTAAAACTACAGTTTTAATATTCTAGAAAATACAGAGAAATCTAATGTACTATGGACTTTGGGGATACTAACTTGTCAATTTGGGCTCATGGATTGTGATGCAGGACATAAAATAGTGGGGAAAGACAGGGCATCTACGGGAGATCTCTATCTTCCTCTCAATTCTGCTGTGAACCTAACACTGCCATTAAAAATTTTATTTAAAAAAAAAAAAGTGCCAAACTGTGCATCTTGTAAATTCTTTTGTGTGATTTAGTTGAAACAGGCACTATTAATACATACTAAAGATTGCCCGTCTTTTAAAAACGAAGTCTTGCACGTTATTTTGTTTTCCTACATTTTATTATGCAGTATGAGGAATAACGTATACCCTTTAGATAAAAAGCTCTGTTGGGGGCTAGGGATACAGTTCAGTTGGTTGGTAGAGTGCTTGCCTTGCATGCATGAAGCCCTGGGTTTGATCCTCAGCACTGCATATAAACAAACAAATAAAATAAAAGATCCATCAACAACTAAAAAATATTTTTTAAAAAAACTGCAGCCTTGGGCTGGGATTGTGGCTCAGTGGTATTGCGCTCGCCTAGCACAGGCGGGGCCCGGGTTCGATCCTCAACACCACATAAAAATAAAGGTATTGTGTTGTTCCCATCTACACCTAAAAAATACATATTAAAAAAAAAAAAAAACTGCAGCCAAATGATCAACGATTGAAATGAAAAATTTACTAAATGTGCTAAACAATAGATTTGATCAGAGATGAAGGAAAATAGCACTCTGGTGGAGGTACTGGTGATTGAACTGGGTGCTGTACTTCTGAGCTACACTCTCAGGCCTTTTTAAGACAGGGTCTCACTAAGTTGCTCAGGCTGTCTTGGAACTTGTGATCCTCCTGCCTTAGTCTCCCTAGTGCTGGGGTTACAGGTGTGGCTACCGTGCCCAGCAAAATCATTTACACCATTAATTCACCACATGTATAGTGGAAAGGACAAGAAAGAGGGAAAGACGTTAAAGAAACAATGGGATAACACTTCATGCCTGGTACGGTGGTTCACCTCCATGTATAGCCATACAGTGTTCAAACTGACTTCATTTGGAAATGTGGTCCTCATGGGTGTGATTAAAGACTTCAAAATGAGATCGTCCTGCAAAATCATGGAATTTGCAGGGAAATGGATGGCATTAGAGCAGATTATGCTAAGTGAAGCTAGCCAATCCCTAAAAAACAAATGCCAAATGTCTTCTTTGATATAAGGAGAGCAACTAAAAACAGAGCAGGGAGGAAGAGCATGAGAAAAAGATTAACATTAAACAGGGACAAGAGGTGGGAGGGAAAGGGAGAGAGAAAGGAAATTGCATGGAAATGGAAGGAGACCCTCACTGTTATACAAAATTATATATAAGAGGATGTGAGGGGAAAGGGAAAAAAAAAATCAAGGGAGAGAAATGAATTATGGTAGATGGGGTAGAGAGAGAAGATGGGAGGGGATGGGAGGGGGGATAGTAGAGGACAGGAAAGGCAGCAGAACACAACAGACACTAGTATGGCAATATGTAAAAACGCGGATGTGTAACCGATGTGATTCTGCAATCTGTATACGGGGTAAAAATGGGAGTTCATGACCCACTTGAATCAAATGTATGAAAGATGATATGTCAAGAGCTTTGTAATATTTTGAACAACCAATAAAAAAAATAAAAATAAATAAGAAAATAAAAGAATACAACAAAAATGCAAAAAAAATAAATAAATAAAAAATAAAACAAAATGAGATCGTCCTGGATTTAGAGTGGGTCCTGAACCCTGCCATACGTGTTTTTTTTTTGTTTGTTTTAAGTTGTCCATGGATCTTTATTTATTTATATGTGGTGCTGAGGATCAAACCCAGTGCCTCACACATGCTAGGCAAGTGCTCTACCACTGAGCCACAATCTCAGCACCACACGTGTCTTTAAAGGAGACACAAAACTGCACCTGAGGATAGAGCACAGTCCAGCAGTGCCTGGAACCATAAGCATTGAAGAGGCAGAGGGGTCTGGGAAGAAGCACGGCTGTGGGGCACCTGCATCTGGACTCTGCCTCCAGAACAGCAAGTTTCTGTTGCTCTCAGATACTGATTTTGTGATTTGTTAGCGCAATCAGAGGAAACTGAAGCAATGGCTAAACTGGAAACTGCAAGGTTCTGAACACATTACCACATCACAGGGCACAGCCTCAGAACACACTGACACAGAAAGAGGCTCAGCTCCAGAACACAGTAGCATTGCAGAGCACAGAGAGTATGACTTCTGAGTGAACAGGAAGCCTGGGTGCATGTTGGTTAGGTAACTGAGTAAGATCAATGTGGGAATTTATCAGGACTGCGGGGAAGTGACTTCACACTGGGGAGGCTGGCAGACATCACCTTCATGGGCCACTAATATGATGGTGTCAACAGCCGGCATCTCATGGCAGAGAAGCTGTTGCCACCAAAGACACAAGTGCAGCCTGACTCTGACCTGAGAAGTATCAGGCAGACCAAGTTGAGGGGCTGTCCACAGGTAAGGGGCTATCCCCTCAGAGTCCTGTCAGCTTAAGGATGCAGGGATAGGTTTCAGAGCAGGGAGAGGGCAAGGGCACAGGGTAAGAGCATCACCAGGGCAGGAGACAATCAATCCTCAGGGGCTGAGACTAGAGAACACCAGGTTCAATTCCTATCTGCCAGTGTCACAGGCAGTTCCTAATGGTAGCTGCTGGCTGCTACTGGTTATGACTAGTAATTGATGACTGTTACTAGTTACTGTGGGGAGCTGCAGGTTGTCACTGTGGTGCATTCCTTCACTCAGGGGAGGAAACACACACACAAACAACTTGGGCCAGTTCAACACATGTTCCTAGCTGAGGCTCAGCAAGGTAACTCTGCATTCTCATTTTAGCTCATACTGCAAAAAAGCATATTTTCAACAATCTAAGCACCGCGTTCAGCACATTTTTGCATCTTCTGTTGGTGATTTTGCTGTTCAAAATGAACCAAAACATAATTTACAAGGTGGAGCACATGTGTTTTCTCTTTTGACAAAGAGTAAAACAAGTCTTCACCTTACATCTGATGAAAGAAATTAAGCACAACAGATAAGCTGTCTGGAAACTTGTCCAGAGTCACAGGTTCCCTGGAAAGCAAAGACCAGGCCTGCTGGACACTCAGACAGGTTTTAGAAAGAGCATCAGCTGGTGGCTGGGGCTGGGGCTCGGCAGTAGAGCGCTCACCTAGCACTTGCGAGGCCCTGGGTTTGATCCTCAGCACCACATAAAAATAAACAAAATAAAGGTAGTGTGTCCAACTACACCTAAAAAACAAATATTTAAAAAAAAAAAAAAAAAAAAAAAACAAAGAAAGAAAGAGCACCAGGTGGACAGAGGTGCTGAGATGGAGAGCGCCAGCACCTCAGGTCCGGCAGGAGTCACCAAGAGCCCTCCAAACTCACCTACACATGCTTCCTGCTCCTTGCTTTAACCAGCAGGTGGAAATGAAAGCTTAAAGCACAGCCAGGAAGGGGGCACAGCCAGAGGGCGTGGCACTAGGCAGCAGCGCTTGCTGGGCAGGTCTGCAGAGGTGGACCTGCAGGCTCTGACCCTGGCCTTTGCACTGCTACATCCAGCTCTGTGGTTGGCTGTGCCTGCACCAGTGTTTGAGATATAATCTCTTTGTCTTCACGTTTGTACAGGACTCACTGGTAAGATGATCATGTATTTTTCTGATCACACGGTATTGGAGAAAACGAATGACTTTTGTGTAGGACACTGTGTTTAGATACATGGAAAAGTTAGCACAAGCCAAACAGCAGGAAATGGACACCACCACCCAAAGCTTCAGCTCCATGGACTGTCTGAAGAGCAGAGCATGCGCCTCTCAGGCACTGGCTCCGATCCCACAGGCGTGGTTAGGCAGCCTAAAGCCTAACCCTGCCCCTGCCCTGTTCTGCCACAGGGGCCCTGCTCTGCCCCTTCGTCCCCAGGGTCTGCCCCCCACTCCTGCTCTGCTTCATGGGTCTGACATTCACACCCTAGAGTGTAGTCCTTGTCCTCATCCTCATCCTCACCCAGCAGGAAACTCCTGGGGGAGCTGTCCTTGTCCTGGCAGGACAGGGTCTTCCTCCTCCTCCTCCTCACCAGCTGTGTGGGTTCAGCCCCCTGCTCTTGCCCCCGCAACGCCAGGCTCAGGAGTCCTCTCTCCTTCCTCCGTTTGTACTCCATGATTTGCTTGCTGAGTGCCTCATGATCGATCCCACACAGACTTGAGCATGAAGCAGGTCCTGGGGCACCATGTGGTGATAGGGCATCAGGGTCCCTGAAGGAGAAGAGGAACCTTCAGACCAAGCATAAGCCACGCCATGACCACAGTCATCAGTATAAAATGCCACTGGGGGCATGTCCTACACCTGCCCACATATGCACCTCCTGGACAAGGATGTGGAAGGGATTTCTGGATTTCAGAACCAGTGGCCAGCATAGTCCTGATGCCACTTGGTACCATCATGAGTACATTAAGCACGGCAGGAACAGCAGGCAGTTGAGCAGAATCACAGGTGGGCCTACAGGTGCAGTAACTCAGGTCAGTGACACACCAAATGACAAAACCTGACTGCAGTCACATCACCCTCTTACCCGTCAACACTAAACCCTGGAGGCTCTCTGGCCTGCCTCTTCCCCATGCTGGCTCCCTGATGGTCAGGATGTGCAGGCTGTGGTGACATGGAGCCGTGGCACTAGCTCCTGCAGGCTGGTTCAACCCAGACTTACTGCTGGGCCCTGCAGTCGCTGAAGCACCAAAAATGCAGATGCTGCTCCTATCTAGGCCAGCCCCTCCACAAACACCCCTGTTCCCAGGCTTGTGACCAGACTGTGTTGTTCCTCAGAGGTGTACCTGCACCTCCACCAGCCATGCAAATCCACTTTCCTGCACCCTTCCTCTAAGGATGATAGGCTCATCAGTAATGATCACTGCATCCTCAGCCTCCCCCAGCGGGCCCCACCCACAGCACAGCAGGGTAGCATCTGAGAGCTACGACAAGGCCTGGCATACTGCATGCACCCAGTTAAAGTGCACTAAGCCAGGGCTGAGGTCGTAGCTCTGTGGCAGAGCACTTGCCTAGCACATGTGAGGCACAGGTTGGATCCTCAGCACCACATAAAAATAAATAAATAAGGGGGGCTGGTATTGTGACTCAGTGGTAGAGCGCTTGTCCAGCAGGTGTGAGGCATTGGGTTCAATTTTCAGCACCACATATAAATAAATAAATAAAATAAAGGTCTATTGATAACTAAAAAAACCCCAATTTAAATAAGTAAATCAGATAAAAGTAAAAAAAAAATGCACATAATATTTTAAAAATGTTTAAAAGTGCACTGAGCCAACAAGGAAGCCAAGACAATGCGGCCATCTCCCCAGTGGACGAAGCCTCACAGACGCCACAGGCCTCACCATGTGCCTGCAGACCACTGCCTGTGGATGCCTGGGCCCCAGGGCCAAGTACCAAGGGGCAACATGGGCTAGTGGGACACAGATCACACAGCCACTACAAAAACACTAATCCTGTGCCTGGTAATCTGCCCCAGGGAATGGAAACACATCCCCACACATCACCTGGGATCATCTCCTATGGGGTGGTCTCCTTCATCTGGAGGTCCAAACTCAGCCACTGCCAGTAAGCCATCAATCTGAAAAGGAGCACCACAGTGGTAGGTCACTACCCACCCTTCCCCCTCCCCCCACCCCACCCCACCCCTTCACCGTCTCCCCCTCCCCCACCCAGGAAGCACTGGATCTGTGGGCCAAGCCTAAAGTCCACACAGGCAGCCTTGGCCCACACCTCCCATCCTCATAAGCAGTCAAAGGCCACACTTCCAATCCACACTGGGAAGGGGGCAGAAACACCTGCTGTCCTCAGGCATAAGGCCAACCATGGGCCTCCTGGGTGGACTTCATCTGCCCTTTTGTAGATGTCTCTGCTCTGGGGTTGTGCGACAGCCTGAGCTTGCAGCTGCCTTGGTGCTATTCTAACATGGCACCTCTCTCTGACAATGAACTGAGGCTTATGCGAAACTTACAAACGTTCGAAACCCATTAAACAACGATTAAAGAACTAATATTTACTAGTTTCTACTGCAGTTTCATAAAATGCTTCCCTGTAGCCACGTAATTTGTGTGCTTTAGGGGAGAAAAGGCCTCTGGCAAGGCAAGACAGCAGGTGCTAGGAAGGCTGCAGTCAAGCTGCAGAGGCAGGAGCTCTGCAGGGCAAGGAATCTGAGCAGGAACACAGCAGCAGCAACCAGGAGGCAGGCTGCTGTCCACACAGGACATCACCCACACACCCTGCTGGACTCGGCCCTGGCTGTTCCAGTGGCCCATCTGGGATCTGCACTTCCATCCTCTAGTGGCAGTGGCCCACTTCAGGCACAGCTGTGCCTTCCCTCCTCCAGAGATGTGTCCGAAGGAACCTGTGGAACCTGCCTCCCCAGAGACTACAGAAGCTACAGGTGAGAAGTTTAGCTTGGGGCTGCATGGCCAGTTGCCCTGGTGGCCTCAGCACTCGCACAGTTGAGCTCTCTGCCCCAGTGCCTTGTAAGGACTACTGTCCCTGCTGCTTCTTCTAACTGGGGACATTCCTCCACTGTCAGGGTCACTACCTGCACAATGTTTCCTATGTTATCTGTGTCATGAGTAACAAAAGACACACACGTCAAACTAGATCCTTTCCTTCTGTGAAGCTAAATCCTCTCTGGTTGTCCAGTGGATGACAGTTATCCAGGAAAAACACTACACTTGTTATCTGCTGATTCTTGGTAGACTTTTAAAAAGTTATAACATACTTTAACCTCCAGTTTCAATCTTTCTAACAAAACTCCTCTAAAGCAAAGAAAATGGTGGTTAAATACTTAGGTCAGAAAGTGAATTCTACAACCTCAGGTTAGGTGGGGAGGTGGTGAGATGCGAGACAAGCACACAGGGCAGCTCTGGCCACCTTAAGTTCATACACTGAGAAACAGCACTCTGGGTCACTGGTCAAGAGTTCCATTGATGAGCAAAGACTTAGAACCAGAAAAGGGGTTACACTGTGGTTGCCACTGCAAACAGGGTTAAGGGCCTTCCTTAAAAAACTCCTTCGCAGAGTTTTTAAAACATTATCTATTGAGTATTTAAAAATTAACAAATTTAAAATCCTATTCATATAAGTTTATATCATAAAAGGGCAATTACTTATAAGCCTCACCTCTGCCAGAGCTGCGTTTTTTCTGTCTTGAATGAACACTATTGGCGGCACATTCCTCAGGGTCTGCTGGGACATCAACAGGTGTCTAAGGAGAGGAGAGATGTGAGACTCTGGGCTCCACCTGGACACCTAGTGGAGAGGGTAGGTGCTCAACACAAGCTATGTGGGAATCCCAAATATGAAAATTAGACCAGCACACAGGGTAGATGGGGCAGGGCAGGGAGCCCAGGACTTGAAGGCTAGCCTGGACAGGGTAGCAAGACAATCTCAAGGGAAAAAAACACAGATGAAAAAGTTTCTGTACTGAGCTGCCTATTACAAAAGGGTGCAGAATGCACTATAACCAATTCCTCCAACACATCAGAGAGCCAATGAACACCAATCCGAACACAGAATCTTCTGTGGCCCTGGGCACCAGGGTCTGGGCCCTGGCAGCCTGTCCTGCCCTCAGTGGACAATCCCTGGCATGGCTCCACCCTCATGTCCTAGATGCTGGAGAAAAATGGTCTCTGCGTGGCTCTGTCATGAGATACAAACATGTGCCAAGCTAGGTGTGGCACACACGTCCAACTCAGCAGCAGCACAGAATCCAAGACACCAACCAGCAAGGGCCTCTGCAGCTGACAACACAGCAGTCTCTGGCACGACAACAGAGAGATCTGCCTACATAGCTTGTAGCCTTGTACACTGGTCACCTGCATAGCAAGTGACCCAGAGTTTCAGAACACTGATGCATTCTCTCAGAACCAACTGGAGCACCTGGAAGCCATGAGCTCAGTGGTGGATGCTGATTTTTCTAAGTTTGATTTTCAATTGAAAGGTTGCGGCTTATTGCTGTGGTGGATACGGCCAGCTATTTACCCTCAAGTAGCAGGCTTGCCTCACTCTTCTTTGAAACAATATCCGGCACACACCTACCTCGAACAGCTGGGACAGGGGGCCCAACCACAGGGGTGTCACAGACTGCACTTGAAGCGTGTCCTGCTTATTCATTTGCAATGTTTCAGGGCACGTGGCATGTCTCACTGTGAGCATCACCACAGTGCTGACAAGGTGCCTCCAGGGACAGAGGTGGAAACGTCCCTGTGTCACAAGAACCATCTTAGCCTCACCACCTCCCTGAAAAATACTACACCTGTTATCTGCTGATTCTTGGTAGACTTTTAAAGTCATACTTTAACCTCCAGGAAAACACCTCCAGGGTCCTACACAACTGAGCTGAAAGTCAACTACATCACATCCTATGGAAAAATGTGAACTATACTCTAAATTCAAGAAAATTAACCCAGAATTTTCCTTCAAAGCAGAACTCCTTCATGAGTGAAACCTACAAGTACAACAGCCTGGCGACCTGGGTGCCAGCAGAAAGCAAGAAACAGGGGCATCACCTCATGTGCGCCGCACTCCTCTGCAGGGTGGCCTCTGTGCTCTTGTTCTGGTCCGCCGAGAGGCTCACCTTCCAATAGACGCGGCAGGCTGAGAAGTCTGGAGTCAGCGAGACCTAGACACCAACCACAGGCACACTCTGTTTACAGGCTTCCTCAGACAACCTTCCCGGGATGAAAACCACAGCTCCCTTTAGCCTCCTGCCCAAGAGCAGTGTCCGTGCCCCACAGAGGCCAGCACTGCTGCTACAGAGTACTCGTGGCAGGCAGGAACCCAACGCCCCTTCCCCAGGACTGTCCACAGCTGGAGCCCTGCACCGGCCTCACAGCCTCTCCTAAGATGCAGACTGGAAACACAGAACTGCCCCTTCTCCTCATGGCTCACATCCTCTGAGGGATCAGAGGACCCTCCTGTCTTTATGCCAAGCAAAGGCAGGTGTCTTAACCACACCTCAGAGCCTCCTCAGGCCTTCTTCCAGGGTCAGACAGCATGCAGGTGCTGCGGGGTCATGGGTCCCACCCCTGGGTGGCAGCCTGGCTGCCTCTGTGCCCAGCATAGGAACCCCTTGTCTCTAGCACTCCCCACGACTCTGCAGCTCCAAACCAAGGCCACGGGGTGCAGAGCTCAGCTGGGAGAGCTGAACTCCGTCTTCTCTCCTCTGGCCTGCCCTCTACCTTGGAGAGCTCCACATTCAGGTTGTAGACCTCCTGGCTCACTTCAGGGGTGCTTAACAAGTCTGTCAGCGCTTTATGGAGGAGGCCGTTCAGGGCCCGCAGGCGCACATGGTCTTCCTTCCTGGTCCTCTTTGAGGTTCTCTTCAGGAGCAAGTCCAATTTGGAAGGCCTATAAGTCTCCATTAAGAAGAAGAACACGGCCCAAGGGCAGGTTACACCTGTCACCCATCACCAACTTGGGTTGGGGAAGGGTGCCATCAACGTAAGACAGACAATAGTCACCTCGGTTACCTCAGCTCTAAGGTAAAGTATGTCTGTTGTTCTCAAGATCAAAACTGCTGCCAGTTTTATTTTTAAAAAAAATTTTTGAGGTATAATTTGCATACCATAAAAACTCACTGTTAAAAAGTAAACACAATATATTTTTAGTATACACAATGTATTTTTTCTAGTTTGAACCATTTATCATATGAACTTTTGTGGTTCACATACACTAAAAATTTGATGAACACTAAATAATTAAATAACAGGACATTCTAGAAAATGTCAGCCATAGTCAATTTTTATCTGAAACGGTTAAATCCATGCTAGCAGTCCCACGCACACAGATACTACCCTCCAGGGCAGATTTGGACAGCCAGTCAGGCAAGAGCTGTGCCAACTGTGAATCTCACCCACTACGACGACCAGGGGGCTGCTTGACACTCACCCAGTAAACCCCAGGGAAGGACCTTCATACCAGAACTTCTTCCTGCAAGGAGAAAGCAAAAGCCACATTGGAAAGTGCCAGCAAATCACAAGAGTTGCGTAACCTACCTTAAGAGGGTTCATACCTCAACGGCATGGGGCCCCAAAATGTAGGCAGTTAATGAACAGCATTGTTGTGGAGGCAAGGCAGAAAACAGTTTTAATTCAACTTCATAATTTTGACTTTCAAATTTGCCTACAGTCCTAAGGGTAGAGAAAGAGGACCTTAAAATATCTCCCAAGATGTACATAAACACCACGCCCAGTTGACCAAGTGGTTCCCATGGAGGGCCAGGTTGAGGGTACTGGTACTGCTATGCCATATGCTAAGGCTAGACAATCATAATGGCCAGGGAGACCCCACTGCTCACTTTTAAAGAGGGAGTTACAGGTGAGCGAGGCACAGGGGCTACATGATCTATGTGGTGGTGAGCTGCAGCTGGAAGCAGATGATTATACACAAAGACGTTTATGGGTAAGCATCTATGTAAGGGAGCCGTAAGCACAGACTTTTTACTTCACAAATGGAAAGGCCCCAACAACAGACACCCCAGTGGAGCATGTACACCAGGCACCCAACCCATGGTGCCACTTTACCAGGACCAGGAGTCCTCAGAGAAAGGGTTGATTCTAGGATTGTGGCACAAGAACAGGATATGTAAGATGAACCTGGCACACCTTGTAGCACTGGAAAGTAAGGATATGCTAAATAGGCACACAGAACCCCACACGATTGGGGTGTCAATGAGAGGGCTCCTAACGGCCACAGTTGGAATAATGAGAGCAAAGTAAAGTCATAGTGGATTATAATCCACAAATCCACACTGATGTGAGTGAATTAACAAATGGAGGAGAAGATATGCATCTCCCACACAGAATCCCAAATAGTTTCTGAGCACAATTCTCTCCTCCTTAGGCAGCGACTTCACATACTGACTTCTTCCCAAAAAGGACAGTATGGAAAGTGGAGGAAGAGTCACTGCTCAGGGTAGACACCTGACAAACACCCAGCCAGGAGATCAGCACCTGTGTGGACCACACACACCCTTGATGTGACAAAATCGCCTCTGCAGGCTCCTCTCCAAACTCCACAGCCCACACACAACCATGAGGAAACACCAAAAAAACCCCAATAGAGGGCACACTACTACTAGTCTAACAGTACTCCTCAAACAGTACTTTGCAATTTTTCTGTAAACGTAAAACTATCTTTAAAGTAGTTTATTGAACAAAACAAGTGATGCAGGCCTGTGATCCCAGCCATGCCAAAAGCTGAGACAGGAGGATCACACGTTTGAGGTCAGACGGGGCATAGTAAATAAAACCCTGTCTAAAATGAAGAATAAACAGAACCAAAAAACATACCCACCAACAGTAAAAACTAAAGTGGGGTGAAGATAAAAATGTCTTACATGGGGGCTGGGATTTTGGCTCAGTGGCAGAGCGCTTGTCTAGCATGTGTGAGGCATGGGGTTCAATTCTTAGCACCACATGTAAGTGAATGAATAAAATAAAGGTCCATCAACATCTAAAAAAAAAAATTAAAAATGACTGACTGTACTCATCTTAACATTAAGAAAACTAATTGAGGGCTGGGAATATAGCTCAGTTGGTAGGGTGCTTGCCTCGCATGCACAAGGCCATGGGTTCAATCCCCAGCACCACACAAAAAAACAACTAATTAACAAGACAAAGGCCACAAAGAAAAGGCAGTGTTAATAAGGAAAGGCGGACACACGTTTGTCCCCCATGAACCTGTCACCCGCCGTGGACCTCGCCCCCGCAGCCTCAGCACCGCGCATACCTGGTTTTCGAAGCAAATTTCTTGAGCAAGTTCTTGCTGCCACAGGAGACGGCAGAGCCGTGCAGGCTCCGCGTGCGGGCGCGGTGGAGTGCAGCCTCACCGCAGCCCCGCAGCAACAGCACCCCGGCGCCGGGGCAGCACAGACCGCGGGCGGCAGCCCACATGTCCGGGAGGACTCTGCCAGCTCCAGCGGGCGCCGGATCCGACACCGAGGCTGGACGACAGACGCAGGCCGGCGCAAGGTTGGAGCGGAGCGACGTGATGCGGACGTGGGGCGGGGCGACGGGACGCGGGGGCGGGGCGACGGGACGTGGGGCGGGGCGACGGGGGCAGGATGGTGGGTGGGGCGATGACGTACAGTTGTCATTGGCCTGGAGGCGGGTGGGCGGGGAGAGAGAGGGCGGCCCCGCCTACACATTTGCGCGCTGGAAAGCAGTGGGAGCTCAGAAGACTGCTGGGTGCTATAGGAAAAGCAAGTGACCCTGAAATTTCAAATACTGAAAAGATTTCAGTGGTTTTCACCGTGTTTGAGAAGATAGACATTCTTAATGTTATTCAACACCATGCAGTGTACACAGGTATCGAAGCATCACATGGTACCATTAATATGCATTTTCTGTTTTTATGCATCCGAGTAAAAATGAACTTTTAAAGAAAGGTTAAAAATAGCATGAAACTGACAGAAGGGGGAGCTGCTGAAGTGATTGAGAAGGCAGAGACATGGACGAGAGGCCGGCACACAGAGCCCGCAGGGTGGACCAGAGGCCCGCAGGAGAAAGCCTGCGGTGGGGTAGATAAGAAGGCCCTTCCACGCTGAGCCAACAGGTTGGACGGACCCCGCATTCTTCTTTCGGATTCTACTGCTAATTTATTTGCTCCTGCCATAAAACTTATTTCCTGTAATACTTCTTTACTCATCTATCTAGACAAAGACATTTGTCTATTTATCTAGAGGTTTCCAAAATGAAGTGTGTTAATCTGGATCCCATAATCATGGCCGTTTCCAATAATCTTTGCAGTCCCTACCTCATCCTTTATGCCCCACTCCCACCAGCTGCAGACCCCCGTTGGTATTCCTCACTGCAAAGTATATCGGAGAGCAGGCCTTGCCTTGTTTCCTGCAGTAGCCCCAGCTGGGAGAACACTGCAGCCTCAGAGTTCTCAATAATTACCTATTGAAGTAATTATTGAGAAGGAAATTGAAGGAAACGAACAGCGATCTTTGAGTATGGGGGAATGAATAATATAAGTCATCAGAATATAACAAAATAGAAGGTAACATAGCTCACGAGATTTGCAGATCTAGTCCAGGGTTTTAATTGAGAAACTGATGTGACTCCATTTTTGAAAATAAATAACAGCAGCTTCTACCTCAAGGCTGTCCTAAGGAAGGGGGCATGACCCTTATCCTTGGAAAAACCCACAGAGCACTCCTAAGCACATACCCACCCTGCTGAGTTGTTTGTCTGCAAATAACAGGAGAGATCTGCTGCACCAGGTGTCCCTGACTCAGTCAGGCTAGGTGAGGACCTATAGCAACCCCCTAGCAACCACCAATCAGCATGAGACAGGGAAAATATCTGGGTGCCAGATGACCCCCCAGTAGTTTATGGTAGTTGATAACATGTTGGGAAACCAGGTAGTTTGGCACGTACGCCCCTCGTGGCCTAAACCAATCAGTTCAAAGGAATACCCCTCTTGTACTAACCAATCACCCCTACCCAACTTGTTCCTGCCAGTGAATGTGCTAATATTGATTAGAGTTGTTGTTTGATTTTCCCATGGTATGGAATGATTTGCTGTGTGATGTTGTGACACAGAGAGTATCCCCCCAAAACCTATAAAATCTCACTGAACAAAGGATCAGGGCTCACTCTCTGGGACCACTGTCTCAGGAACGGTTGCGAGTCCAGGCTCGAGCTTGCAATAAAGATTCTCGTGTGATTGCATCGGATTCGGCTCCTGGAGATCTATTGGGGTCCCACGAATCTGGCATTACACAATCTAAATTCAAATCAAAACTAAGCCTAGGATTTTCCTTTAAATTCATCTGAGACTAGATAACTGGATGCAATTTCCCTCAGAAGGAAGTGAGAGAATGGAAGCAAAGCATGCAGCAAGCCGCCTTCAATAAACATTACCTATTACTCTTAAGCAACTTTAAGCCAGTCTACAAGATGGGTGTGACATGTGAAGTCCCCAGAAATACAGCTTTCCCCATTTAGTCTACTATATTTCTCAGTCCTCACAAGTCACTTAAGCAACACTTCGTTAGGAACAGGAAGGCCATGGAGAGCTGCAAGGATGCTTTCAACCAGATCTTGCATGATTTGCCATTTGGCTTGGTGAGTTGCACTTCCAATGTGAGGTGTGACAATGATGTTCTTCAGCTTCAACAAGGGGTGATCTCTGAAATACACATTAATTAGGAAAAACATGGAGTTGTTTGGTTTCTTTAACTTTGTATTCTGGCTTCACCTCCCCTGTGAAACCAGAATTTTGCCACCCCGAGATAAGAAGTTTGCAGGCACCTCAGGCACACCCAGAATTACACCCACATGTACCCACCACTCAGCTAACCCTAGCTCAGGAGACCCTATGTTTTGAGGTACAAAGCATGTATCCTAATCGTACAGAGGCCATGAACTCACAATTACACATGTGCCTGCTTGATTAGAGACTGGCCCGCAAGGTGGAAAAGGGCTAAGGGCTTTAGGGGATGCCAGAGCTGTTCTACCATCATGGGAGAAGCTGAATTCACTTTTAATGAGGAGTGGCGTTCAGAGGGGAGATTCATCAGAACTAGCAGATTAAAGGAAGTTGACTTCCAGGAGGAAGGCCCAGGACGGCAGTTAGCCTGGAAAGGTGATGAGGAAGAGTGGATCAGGCAAACTCCAACTTGATGGATAGCACTAGATGCCAGCATTGGCAATGGATGTGGCCTCACCCACAGGGTCTCTTAACCATTTGGATACAGCTGAAGTAGCCATGAAGGACCATGGCCTCTTGGCCCTAGCTGCTAAGAGTCAAGGGCACACCTACTAGAATCTTGTGGACCCCAAGGATGGCAATGTATCTGGAACCCCTGACTCAGACTACAGTAGAGGGTGCAAGTACTTCCAGCCTTAGAACTAAGATGAAGATGAAGCACAGCACAGATACAAAGGTTTGTAAAAGAGGCACCCAAGGCCAACAAGAAGGCAGAGATTCTGTGCAGTGTCCTATGTGGGGCCCAATCCTGAGCACTCTGAGCTCCCTTTCCAGGGTGAAGCTGACCCAGAACCTGGACAGTCTGCTGTATACAGTAGGACAGGCCACACCCCACAGTTCCATGGCTCCCTGAGGCTGCAAGGCCAACAGAAGCACTCATCTGCCATTTTGCCACCTTCTATCCAAAAAAAAAAATATGGATTTTGTCTGGTCTTGTTACCTTGGCAGGGGCTCTGGGTATGTCACATCCAGTGCTGCAGCCTTAATGACCCCACTCTTCAGAGCTTCCACCAGTGCATCCTGATCAACCAGAAGCCCTAGATGAATGAGACAACTCCTCAGCAACCACATGGGTGTTGACATGTGAGAAGAGAGTTTCATCATACAGCTAGAGCTTCAAATGTGTCTTCATTTTGTTCCAGAAACATGTTTAAATGTATGCAAATCCTCACAAAGAACATGCAAACTTCACACTAAAATTACATTTAAATCATGTCCAACCAATCATTAGAACAAAACCAGGCCTCGGCCCACTGTGTGCATTGCTCAGTGAGCCCTCACATACCACAGCAAAGTTGATTCATGTTGCAGGTGAGGCTGTGTTTTGGTTTGGATGTAAGGTGTCCCCTAAAAGCTCCGATGTTAATGCAGGAAAGTTCAGAGGTAAACTGATTAGATTGTGAGGGCTATAACCAGGTTAGTTTGAATTATTTGACTAGTGGTGATTGTGGGAAGGTGGGGCATGGCTGGAGAAGGTGGAATCCTGGGGGCATGTCTGGAAGGACGCCTCTTCCCCAAGTCCCTCCTCCCCACCGCCCACTTCCTGATCCCACCATGAGCTGAGGAGCTTTCCTCCACTGGCCTCTTCCCTCACCCTGGGCCCAAAGCAATGGACTTAGTCATCTATGAGCTGAGACCTCTGAAGCCATGAGCCCAAAATAAACATTCCTTCCTCTAAGTTTTTCTTGTCAGGTATTTTGGTCACAGAAACAGAAAAAGTTAACTAAAACAGAAATTGGTATCAAGAAGTGTGATCACTGTAACTATCTGACCATGTGTTTCAGAAACCTTTGCAGCTGGTTGGTAGGAGGAATTCTGAAAAGTTTCGAGATGTGAACAGCAAAAGCTTTAAGACATTGTAAACAGAGATGAATGGGTGATTCTGGTGAGAGCTCAGACCAGAATGCTGATAGGATTATAGACAGTAAAGACTGGGCTCAGGGGCTGGGATGTGGCTCAAGCGGTAGCGCACTCGCCTGGCGTGCGTGCGGCCCAGGTTCGATCCTCAGCACCATACAAACAAAGATGTTGTGTCCGCCGATAACTAAAAAATAAATATTAAAATTCTCTCTCTCCCTCTCTCACTAAAAAAAAAAAAAAAAGACTGGGCTCATGAGGTTTGAGAGAGAAATGAAGACTCTGCTGGGAATTGGTCTAGAGGCCACTTGTGTTACATTCTGGCAAACAACTTGGCTACATTTTGCCCATATGCCAAGACTTTGTGTGAGGCTGAATTAAAAGGGGATGGACTAATCAATCTGATGGAGAAAATTTCAAGGCAGCAAAGCATTCAGTCAGTGGCATGGAGATTGCTGGCACCTTTAGACCAGGTTTTCCATGAAAAATGGGAACAGAAATCAGAGATAAGGGATTTTTAAAACTTACAATCTGGCCAGGAAAGTGCATGTAAAGTTGGGGCCCAGGAGGGTGTGCTTATTGAAGAGATTACAGCCAGTAAGGAGAAACTAAGTCCTTTGCACAGAGGCAATACAGAAAATGGCTTGAGAGCATCTTAGGAATTTGTACGACCTTTTCCACTACTGGCTCCAGGGTACAGAAAATAAAAATTTCATTGAGAAAAGATCATGGATGTCCTGCATACACAGGGGTGCCTAGGAAGTTGATTCACCACGCTGAGCCACAGCTATGATTCCAGGGGGCCCAAGTGTCACAGGCTGTCTATGGATTGCATGTGGGTCACTGCACATGGAAGCCTAGTGGATAGAAACATCTGGAGTCTGCGAATGACCAGTAGACATTTTCTCTGGTCAATTGCCCATGGACAGTGTGAATTTCTGTCCTGTTCTTCTATGTTCCACACAGCACCTGAGATGGGTATGACTTGCCAAGATGTCAGTCAACCTGCTGAGTGCAAAACCTGAGGAAGCAAGACTCTGCCTTTGAAACCTTATCCCTGCCTTTGATATATCCCTTTAAATAAATAACCAGAGCCATCTTTTCTCTGTCTAGTTCCAGCGCCCATGTGGACTAGATCTATCAGGGGCTTCACTTTTGTAAATATATTTCTGAATATATTTATGTTTTGTTATTCACTAATTATTTGAGACTTTAAGTTTTAGGGTGGCTTACATTTTCCTGGGCAGAAAAAAGAATGCCCCAAAGAGACACTGGCCATTGCCTCCGTTACCCAGGTACTGTGCTAGCTGGCAACAGATCTTAGCATTATCCACATGGTTCTGCAGGAATGCAGGATACTAAAGTTAAGGGGTCATGGAAGCTTCCACCAAGATTTCAAAAGAAGGCCTGGGAGGCCAGGTAAAGTGTAGCAGGGTTGGAGTCCCTGCGGGCTTCCCCTGAGAGGGCAATGCATGAAACTGTGAAGGTGAAATGAAGCTGGAATGGAGACTCCAGGAATTAAGAGATGCTAGTGACATGGACTGTCTTCTGAGAAAAGCTGCTGGCTGTGGAGAGAGCCAGGCTAAAAGAGAGCCCATATGCACTGCAAATGGCAATACCACTGGGATGAGGCTGCCCAAGGCCTTTGAGGCTAACACCTTGCAGCCAGGGTCCTCCATGCTGTATGCAAAGTTGCAGGTGGAGTTAAGAGAGCCATTTGCCAGCAGGGTTTCAGTCTCGCTTTGGCCCCTCTTTATATGCCCCTATTTCTCCCTTTTGGAATGAAAATATTTACTCTCTGCCACTGTGTGTTGGATACATGTAACTTGCTTTTTATTTTTACAGGGGCTCACGGCCAAGAGTTTGCCTTGAGTCTCAGAAGAGACTTTGAACTTAGACATTTGAGGGAAAGCAGAAACTATCAAGATTGTGTGGGCTCTTGGAGATGAATTGAATATACGTTGCATTGTGAGATGGACCTGAGTTTTTGGGAGCCAGGAGTAGAATGTTATAGTTTGGATATAAAGGTCTCCCCCCAAGTCTCCTGTGTTGATGCAGGAATGTTCAGAGGTGAAATGATTGGCTCTTGAGAGCTGTAACCTGATCAGTCCATCCTAGTTTGAATGGACAAACTGGCTGGTGACTGTGGGCAGATGGGGCGTGGCTAGAGGAGGCAGGCCCCTGGGGGAGGGGTGCATCTTTCTTGAGTTCCTTCCTCCATCCATCCTTCCCTCCTCTCTCTCTCCCTCTCCAGCCATTATGTGCTATCTCCTCTTGAGCCCACAGCATTTAAGTCCGCTGTTTGTAGACCAAGACCTCTGAAATCCTGGCCCCTCCTCTCAGTTGTTCTTGCCAGGTATTTTGGTTACAGGAATGAAAAGCTGACTTAAACAGACTCATAGGTTACAAATCTGCCCACAATTATCCTGTACCCCAGCCCTGGTCTTACCAAAACCTGGTCCTGTCTCACTTTCATGCCATCTCCCCCAAATCACCCAAGGGGCTCAATTGAAAAACAGCCTCCAAATGTCTGCATTTAAAAATGAAATGAGGGCCAGGATGCAGGTCAGTGGGAGACCCTGGGTTCAATCCCCAGCACCAAAAAAAAAAAAGCAGTTATGAAACAAACAGAACGTGATGCATGACTCCATTTACAAAATAGCAAGAGTGTGTGTGAGCATCTGAGGCTGAGGCCTGTGAAGAACCTGCTGGCTGATAGTGCTGCCCATCACAGACAGTCCATCTGTGAGCCACTGCTCCTAGGTTACGACCAATGCCTGCCCAGAGGCTGTTGGAGAAAGTCCAAACTGAGGCCAAGGATGGCCCCAGAAGTTTGCATACTGGCCTTGATGCTACTGAAAGCGTGCTGCACACTGGTCTTTTAAACTGTCTCATTGAAGGTCTGAATTTTCAGACAACTCTCAAATAATTAACTCAGCCATGTGCAGCTTCATGGCAAGAGCTGGTTCTTGCTTTCTGGGTAAGGTCACTGAGCTAAGCGATACTCAGGGCTGTTGGGGGTGCTGAGTTTCTCAACCATGTCCCCAGCCCCACAGGGCACACTGCCCAGACGTCTGCCTCAACAGCCAGCCCTCACATGCACCCCCACACCAGCATCACAAGGATACCATCTGTGTCCAGTGCTGCCTCTTGGCACCTAAATGTCAAAAGTGACCCTCAGAAACTCATCCCCAGGAACTGTGTTAAATCCCCCCAGAGCATCAAATTGCAACACCACTCCATCCCAACAGACATTGACTTGTGATATGAAAACTTCCATATCGCAGCTATTATCCTTCTTGATTCTTACTTGAGGTTCAAAGTCATGTAAAGACAAAACTCAGGAAAATTTCTAAATAGAATGTAAATTTTCTTAATTCACCTGCCACCAATCTAAATGGATTTTGTGAATTTTCTGGACCAGGGCATCCACTCAGGATAAAGGGGACAAGAAAAGCCAAGGGCAGAGCTAGAGACTCCCAGCCATGTCTCCTGGCCACACGGTCATCACAGACAGGCCTACCTCTGCCGACATTGACCAGCACAGCACTTCGCTTCATCAGCTGCAGCTCCCGCCTCCCCATCAGGCCCTGGGTCTGGGGCGTCAGGCTGGCAGCCAGCATCACAAAGTCTGAGTGCTGCAGCAGGTCTTCCAGCCTGGCACAGTAGGCAGCACCCACGGCAGCTTCCTCCTCCAACCTCCTGCAGAGAAATCACTTCCTCAGAAATTCAGCCAGATGCCCAGGTGGGTGACACTTCCAGGGAGAAGTCTCTCAGGGGAAGTGGCGGGGTCCACTAGGCCCAACTCCCAGCTGGACACATGAGTCCCAAAGGCCTGGCAGTGTGGTCAGCCCTGGAGTCCTCAGGATGGCTCACTCCCCTATGGAAACTCTGCTTATCCAGCCCCTGCAGGGTTGCCAGGCCCAAACCTGTATCCCCAGATCCCTGCTTCCAGGGACAGCGGAGGCTGGGCAAACACATCTCATGCCCGGAGAGGAACAGGAAAGGCCTTGAGGTACTGTCTGCTGAATGGAAAGCCAGGACCACAGAGTCAATGCAGGCAGGACTGTGGCTTTTTTTTTTTTTAAATTTGGGTCAAATTTTAACCCTTATTCTGGTCACCCAAGACAACTGATTATTCGACAGAAATCATAAGCACCAGGACTTGACAGCATCCTGGAAGCCACCAATGGACTTTCAGATGTGGAATATGAAATGACACAGTTCTTTTCTAACACAGGCAGGTGTAGCCTGAGGGGAGATGCTTGCCCAGTTCCCCAAACCCTGTCCCCTTCACTTGCTTGGCCCTGGCATCCCTGCCTTTGCCCTCTGGTGGCGCTGAGATCTGGGACTATTATGTTTCTTTGTGCAAACACAGTACCTGATGAAATATGATATGTCAAGAGCTATGTTATGTTTTGAACAACTAATAATAACAATTAAAAAAAAAAAACAGTACCTGAAAAACCAGCTCACCATGCTCCACAAATGTCTGTTACAGAAAAGAGTTTCCCCAATTTTCTTTAAGGTCAGAAACCTATGCATTTATGTGAAGAGTTGGTTGATTGTAATGCATTCTGCTGTCATATGTAACAAATTAGAATAAAAATTTTAAAACAAAGAGTTGGTTGAGCAGCTGCCCTAGGTGCCAGTCCTGCTGGGTATGGGGATAGCAGTGAAGACATGGAGAAGCTCCACCTCTGCATCACCTGCACCCACGACCACACTCAAGCCACCAGAGGTGAGCATGCAGGAAGAAGGATCTCAGGGGCCTTGCCAAGGAAGGGCAAGAGGGAACCCAAGTAGAAGGAAACCTCTAGGTGGAGCCACCAGGGAGAGGCAAGGTGAGAACCTCTAAGGTGGAACCCTCAGGGCCTGAGTTGGGGAATGATTGACCTTTGGTGGAAAATGATCACATTCTTTTTGGCCAGGCCCAGCTGAGTGCAGTGTTTGCTCCACTTCTGGAGGTGTAATAGCCTTCCTATGTCTTCCTCCTGCTGAGGACATGGCACCCCTGGGGCTGCAGACATCTTAGAACAGCACCCCAGAGTGCTAGTTAAGTACATGTCTGTAATCCCAGCAGCATGGGAGGCTGAGACAGGAGTATCATGGGTTCAAATCCAGCCTCAGCAAAAGAGAAGTGCTAAGCAACTTAGTGAGACCCTGTCTCTAAATAAAATACAAAACAGGGCTGGGGATGTGGCGCAGTGGTCGAGTAACCCTGAGTTCAATCCCTGCTACCAAAAAAAAAAAAGTACTGTCCTGAGATGGGTCCTGCAATATTGTAAGACTGAAAGGGAGGCCCAGGAGCCCCTGGGAGACAATGGCCACGATGTGAGGCACCCAGCTCTATGGAACCATCTTTTCCCACAGCCAATAGGAGCCATTCAGCAGTTGTGAGCAATGGCCAAGGCCTGGCTGGTCTGCAGAGAGTGGCCACAGGAATTCAAGGTGGTATAAGTACTTGAGCTGCCCCTGGGTTGGATGGGACATGAGACAGCCTGAGCAGGTTTTGTCAGAGAAGTGAGAGTTCTGCAGCCCATCACTAAGACAGGCACTGGGGCTGGGGATGTGGCTCAAGTGGTAGCGCGCTCCCCTAGCAAGCATGAGGCACTGGGTTCGATTCTCAGCACCACATAAAAATAAAATAAAGATATTGTGTCCACCTAAAAGTAAAATATATATATATATATATATATATATATATATATATATACATTTTTTTTTTTTAAAGGCACTGGTGGTAGAGGGTAAGAACTCTAGAAGGGTGAGTGTAGGTGCCGTCTAAGGAAATAGGAGCACTATGGTGGGGAGGGCACACCTGCATCCTAGCAACTTGGGAGGCTGGGGCAGGAGGATCGCAAATTCAAGGGGTGATCCTCCAGCCTGGGCAACTTGGTGAGACCCCTTCTCAAAATTTAAAAAAAAAAAAAAAGGGCTGGGGATATAGCTCAGTTGATAGAGTGCTTGCCTCGCATGCACAAGGCCCTGGGTTCAATTCCCAGCATCACATAATAAATAAATGAATAAATAAAATAAACAATAAGAAGGGCAGGGGATGTAGTTCAGTGGTAAAGCATCCTTGGGTTCAATCCCCAGTACCTGCCCCCTCAAAAAAAAAATAAATGAATGGAAATGGGGAGTGCTACTGAAGGGCTTGGCACAACATTAGGGACAAAAGTCCAGAGTTAGTTTTGGACTTGTCCTGCGATGAGTGGAGACCTGGTAGGTGGAGGGTGCACTGAGTCAGCTGAGGAGACTGGGTGGACAGAGGGCAGCACACTCACCCTTGAGGGATGTGAGACCCCCAAAGCCAGGAGGCACACAGGCCACCATGGGTTCCTGTGGCTTTGCTGAGCAGGAGCAGTTGAGACAGGCATACCACCAGCTCTCTGAAGATTATCGGCAGTGCCGAAGAGCCACACAGGCCTAAGAGCCAGGAAGAGGCACCAGCACACCTCAGTATTAATTGGGGCTTGGTGGGTGTGAACGCATCTCCTGGGACTGAAAAGTCACTTTGGAAATTATAAAGGACTTGTGTTATGTAGTGAACTTCTTTTCTTTTCAGTGGTATTTTCTCCATGAGAAGTCAGAGCCACATTTCCAGGGAATTGTCAGGAAACTTCCACCCCTTCTTGGCATGAGCTTTCCTTGGTGAGAGTGGGGATCTCCGGGCCATGCTTGGGCAGCCATAGCTCTACTGAGCTCAACCAAGGGTCAACTTTTTGAGCCTTACCTGCGGTTCCTATTGTGATACAGAATCTTCATTTCAAATGCTTTGGCCCTCTGCGCAATCTTATAGCCAATGGTGCCCATGCCGATGATCCCCAGAGTGGCCCCCGACACTTCCTGCCCCAACCAATTTATAGAGAAGTGCTTTGTGTCCGGTGAGACAGCCAACTGACAACCTAAAACATACAGGCACAGTGCTGTTAAATGGCATCACTAGCAAAGGGGTCTTTCCACAGAGCTCAAGGCAGAGAAGGCCTATGTGGAGGCTGGAGCTCAGGTCCTCTGTGCTTCCGCAGAGAGGACAGCAAAAGTAAGAGGTAGCTTCCTCAGAACAAAACCAGACCCTCTGGAGAGGATGTTCTGAAATGGCAGCTTATTTCACATTAAGGATTTCTGGCTAGAACTTGTTTCAGAGTCTGTCTTGACCAGTAGCCAAGAATAAGAGGAGCCAGGCTCTTGCTCCTTCTCTCAGAACTGCTTCTCAGCAGAGTTCCCATTAGGAGAAGATCACGTGACTTCCACTGCCACTTTTGTGGTAGTCCTGAGGCTACCTTATATTTTACCCTGTTACATGCATGAGTGAGAGCTGGTGGTAGAGGAGCTACTGCTCTCAGAAGCCAAGGTGGACATGGATGCTGACAGAAGCCGTGCACACCCAGGAGGGACTATTAGGATGGCCTTGGGCCTAAGCTTAAGCAACTCCATTATAAAAATTCCAGTTGAAACCTGCAGTCTCACTAGGCACTCCCACAGAGCCCTCCAGTGTGGCCTCAGACAAGTTACTTCCCCACACCCTGATAAACAGAGTAAAGCCCCTGGCAGGCTGTCCTCACCTGATCAGAGGGAAAGGCAAGAAGATCAGGGTGGAGACCACCAGACCCAAAGTTTCTGACCCCAGGGTAAATGATGTCACTGAGAAATCCCGTGGTAGCTGATAAGGATTGAAAGGGGGGCCAAAAGCCCCAAATTTTAGTATAAATGATAGAGCAAATGAACAGGGATTCAGCCAGCCAAAACAAGGATGCACTTGAGCTGGAGAGCCTAATGAGGATCTGACATCTCATCACTTGTCATTGTTCCTGAGCCTCTGCGTGATCCTCACTGCTCTCAAACTCTACCACCTCATCTGGACCTTGGTGAGAGCTGCAACTCCTCCCTACAACCCCCTCCTCAAACAGTCATTCACTCGATACCAGGAAAAGCCCCTTGGTTCCAGACCTGGTCACCAGAGTGAGTGTGCATCTGCTGGACTTAAAGCGTAAGGCTTCAGACTTTTGAACTTAGCACACAGAGGGAATGTCTGTCATTAGCCTGTCATGATTAAGTGTGTTTTGCAGTGCTTAGAATTAATCTAGAATTGCTTGCTGTGAATTAATTAATCTAGAATTGTTTGCTGTGAATTGATTATGTCTATTGCAGTGCCTAGCCTTGTCATTTTCTTTTTCTTTTTTAGTTGTAGATGAACCTTTAATTTTATTTATTTGTTTTTATGTGGTGCTGAGGATTGAACCCAGTGCCTCACACATTCTAGGCAAATGCTCTACCACTGAGCTACAGCCCCAGCCCCGTCATTTTCTTGATTAAGAACCTATAGAGGGCTGGGGATGTGGCTCAAGCGGTAGCGCACTCGCCTGGCATGCGTGCGCCCCGGGTTCAATCCTCAGCACCACATACAAACAAAAATGTTGTGTCGGCCGAAAACTAAAAATAAATAAATAAATATTAAAAAAAAAAAAAAAAAGAACCTATAGAGTGAAATTGTATTGAGTAATTTGAGTGAATCGTTATTCATTGAAAGGGGCAGAGGAGCATGGACATTCTTTATTTCTCCTCTCAACTGCATGTGTTGCAATTTTGCCCCCTTGCAACAAGGAACTCAATTCCCAGCAGATGAAGTCTACATGTCACCCAAAGATATCAGAACCAGAGAAGGACCTGTTTGCGTGTTTTGAAATTATTTTAACATGTATATTATTAAATATTTATCATCTGAACCTTTGGACAACCAACAACAGCATTTTTACCTTCCACCACCCTGCGAGCTGAGGCCAGCAGCAGGGCCATCCCCAGGTCTGCTGTGGGAGTGGACACTGCGTGTGGGGTGTGGGCCACCTTCACACCACAGCTGGCAATGAATGGCAGGTCCAGGTGATCCAGGCCTGCTCCCGAGTTGCCAATGATTTTCAGGCAGGGCAAGCTCAGCAGCAGCTCCCGGTCAATCACTGGGCGTCCACCCCAGAGGTATATAGCTTGGATCTTTTGACTGAATTCTGTTTTGTTTTCCAAAAATCGCTTCATGGTAATGAGAGTAAAGTGCTTCTGCAGCTCTTCCACATGAGCCTCACATATGCCATAGGGTCCTTCAAGGCCAAACACTAGAACTCCAGGCAGTGCTGGGTCTCTTGCAGCCTGCAGACAGAAAGACATGAACCACACAAGAGTGCCACATCTCCTGCTCCAGCATATCCAGGCGGCAAGGCTGGGCTTCTCCTGTTGGCTGGACAAATTCTCAGGCACCTGAAAGTCAGACAGAGCCTGACTGCCTGCTCCCTCCTGCTTTGCCTGGGTTTTTATTCCTGCCTTGGGAAGTGACCTCCTGGCCAGGAGGGCTGTGGCTGAACTCCCCACCTCCTCACCCCTGCCTCATGCAGAGGCCAGGTGAGGTGCTAGCAGCAGATCCTATGAAGACAGGCAGCAGTCATAACAAAGCCTGGAGCACTCGCCTGGCCTGTGGTCAGACACTGAGGCAGCCTACTCAGTGAGTGTCTGGGATACAATAAACACTGTGCTTCAGTCCTAAGTTTCAGGCTATTGCTTGCAAGCAGCTGTGGAGGAGAAAAACGCAGACTCCACCCCCCATCTAGGCCAGAGAATTAAAACCAGGGGAGACATGTGAGCAGGTAAACAGTTTCCAACTCTCCCAGTCCACTGTTAAACAGATGAAGCCCCCATGGGGAAAGGAAGAGCCAGAGTCACTGAGCCAGTTGCTTCCACAGTGAACTGGACAGAGTGGTGGCGGAAGATTAGCTAGGCCAGGGGTTTGGCCAGGCAGTTGCCACAGGTAAGTGACAGTGCAGGTGGTAGGGTTTGCAAGCATGGATCTCCCCTGGGGAGGAGAATGCACCACCTGTTCCCAGGAGTTTTGCTTGCTCTTAAGGAACAGAATCAAGTCAGTGATATTTTGCACCTGCTATGTTCTTAAGTGCCTTTAATTTGAAATAGCCAATAATACATCAGGGCTATATATCTTGGGATGTGGTATTTTTAACTCTTTTACAGCAATAAATAAGTAGTAAAACTGACCAGCTGGGCACATACCTGTAATTCCAGCAGCTCAGAGGCTGAGGCAGGAGGATCTAGAATTCAAAGCCAGCCTCAGCAACCCCCAAGGCTCTAAGCAACTCAAAAAGACTCTGTCTCTAAATAAAATAGTTATTTTTTACACTTGATCTTAGCCAAAAGGCCAAGAAGCGATAAAATAGTTATTTTTTAAAAAAAGGGTTGGGAACATGGCTCATGGTTAAGTACCCCTGGGTTCAATCCCTGGTACAAACAAACAAAACTGACCACATTTTACTGTGAAAATAAAAAAAAAATATGTCTTGTCTGTAAAGTGAATTATAGTTTTAGGTTCCTTGTTTCTGGTTAAATATGAGATTTTTAAGAATTTAAAAAATTTTTTTAGTTGTGGGTGAACAATATCTTTATTTTGTTTATTTGTTTTTTATGTGGTCCTGAGGATCGAACCCAGTGCCTCACACATGTGAGGCAAGCGGTCTACCACTGAGCCACAGCCCCAGCCCAAATATGAGATTTTTAGACATTAGTATCCTTCTATGAAGAAAATCAAAAGCTTTCCAAACACTGAGGTTTTGTTTTTGGGTCCCTGAGGCTTGGTGGGGAAAACAAACCAAAGAATGTTCAAAATCTGATCAAAGCTTACACTATGATCAGTTCCCAAAAAAAAAAAAAAAAAAACAAAAAAACAGGCTTGGGCTTACTTCTGACCTTCAGAAAAAGATTTAAACAGCCTTGTCCAGATAGGAACACCTCTGTGCCTTTCACAGGTTGGCCACGACAGCCCAGGGCTCTGCAATTGTGTTTCCTGCTACCTTGGCACAGAGTGACACTGTGCCCCTGCCACACCTTCATACAATGTGACACTGCACCCACCCCACTTCACTGTCCATGCCATACCGGGGCTATTGCCCTGTCATTCTCAGTGTCTGCACATGGGAAAGACTGAGACTCTTTACGGGTTCAGAGGAGTCCATCTTCAGTCAGAAGAGACAAGCGACAGAGAGCACAGGCTCACATTTCCCTTCCTCAAGCCCAGACTCCGCACATCTCCTTCATGCTGGAGTTCAGCCGAGGAGCCTGCCGGGGACAGGCACAGACCCTCGGCCATGAGAGGTCACCACCAGCACTAGCTGCAGTGGTCTGCTGCTCTGTCCCCGGAGCTGCCAGCCCTCCAGAGTCCTCTCCTTTCATAGTGCAGGCTGCCCACTAGGGGCCCTGCTTTCTTCTCTTTCCTAATTGCTGCATCACAAGATCAAGAGAGGGGAATGTTGGGACTGAATAGTAGGAGCAGCATGGGTGGGTAGGAATGTCCTCGACTAGGAAAACTCAATCAAATTGGACTTCTGTTGTGAGGACTGAGAGGACAAACCTATCCATTTGGAAAAATCAGACTTCTTAGCTTTATTTTTGCCCAACAGTAACAGTTCAGATATTTACAATTCCTGATTGCTGTTCAATTTCAACTGTTAAAATTGTTTAAACATTAATTTCTTCTCATAAGATGATAGCTTAGTTAAAAAGAAAAAGAGCATTTACCTTTGTAGACATTGCCTTTGACAGACTTAAGGCTCCAAATTCAGATTTTCTTCTTTTAAAGACCCTGGAAAATTGCACCCCCCCCCAAAAAAAAAAAAAAAAGAAAAAGAAAAAGAAAAATGTAGGCTGAACCTTCCACAGCTTCTCTCAGAAAAAAGTCAGGGACAAAGATCAGCCTGCTGGGAGGAGACTCCTGGCCAGTGGGAGGAGGTCTGGACCCCTGACCCTGAGCTGGGGCAGCCAATCAGTGCACACCAGCATTCTCTGGCTGAAGGCACCAGAGCACTGGAGTAAAGCACAAACAAAACTGATGAGGACCAAAGGAGAGGGGAACAAGAAATGTGCTGGGTGCTGAGGTGCACGCCTGTTATCCAGTGGCTTGGGAGGCTGAGGCAGGAGGATCACGAGTTCAAAGCCAGCCTCAGCAATGGCGAAGTGCTAAGCAACTCAGTGAGACCCTGTCTCTAAATATAATACAAAATAGGGCTGGGGATGTGGCTTAGTGGTTGAGTGCCCCTGAGTTCAATCCCCGGTACTGCCCCCCTGAAAAAACCTAAGAAATGTAGCTAGGCATGGTGGCCCATGCCTGTAATCTCAGCTACTTGAAAAACCTAAGGCAAGGGAATGGCAAATTCAAGGCCAGCCTGGTAACTCAAAAAGACCCTATCTCAAAATAAAAATTAAAAAAAAAAAAAAAAAAGGGCTGGGGAGGAGGGTGCTGGGGCACTGGGGCATAGCTCAGTGGGAGATGCTATGCCTAGCATACCCAGGGCCCTGGGTTCAATCCCCGGCACCATAGAACAATAAGTTCAATATGTATCGTTATAATGCACTAATAAATAAATAACAAAAAAAGAAGAAATTTGCCCAAGTCTCTAACAATCGGCAAGATCTGTTAGTGCAGGGCAGGCTGAACAAATGTTAGCTGCAAGATAACCAGGGCACTCCAACCTGTCTGGTTCTTTTTTTTTTTTTTTTTAATGCTGGCCCCCCTCTCAAGCATTTCACATGGTGACACATCCCTCTTCCTTGGCATTCTTTCTCCACTGAATGTTAGTGACGACCCATTCTTTTTTTTTTTTTTTTTAAGAGAGAGAGAGAGAGAGAGAGAGAATTTTTTAATATTTTATTTTTTAGTTTTCGGCGGACACAACATCTTTGTTGGTATGTGGTGCTGAGGATCGAACTCGGGCCACACGCATGCCAGGCGAGCGCACTACCGCTTGAGCCACATCCCCAGCCCCTGTCTGGTTCTTTATCGCAGTTTGCATCAAGTCTGAACTCTCTCCTGCCAGGGCCCCCCTCTCTTGCTCTCTCTTTCTCTCTTCTCCTCTTTCTCACTGCTGCAATAACGATCTCTTGGTCGCTCCGAGTGCTGTGGTCACTTTCCTTTCAAGATCACATCAGAGGGAGATTGTATCCATAACATGCAGTGACCTTCTGGAAAACACAACTTCCCATGACTCTTCCTCTTAGCACACTAGGAGGAGCAATGCCCCATCTCTCTTCCCAAACTCTGTTTCCAACAGCGCCCAGTAGGCTCCCTGTTCCTCCCCTCCATCTAGCCCCTTTCCACTTGGCTCCTCTTGTCTTCTCTCCACCCCTTTCAAGCCCCATTTTTTCTCACCTACCAGTAATTCTCATTCCTCTGGTTGTACATGATGTAGAATGTCAGGTCAGTGGCGGAGACTTAGAACTGGAAAGAAACATCAATCAGGCGCTGATGGAAACACCTTTCAATCAGCAGGGTCTCCTGACTAAGGCCTGTCAATCAGCATAATCCCTGGCCAATCCTGGAGTTCAGCCAGCTGAACTGATCAACTCCAGCAGGACATGGGACCCTAAAAATCCCCTTTCCTGTCCCAAAACCTTCCCTTCCTGCTGTAAGCCCCATAAATGTCCAATCCGGTCAAGCTTCCACCCGGTTTCTCCTCAGACCCTTCTCCTGTCCACTCTGTTGGTCTCATGAGTTCCGCCTGGGAGTGATATCTAGGATAAAGCCTCTTCTGTGGTCTTTTAAAATCTGCCTCCTTTGGTCGCTGCCCGCCTTGCCTGATCTCACATAGAGTTACACAGGTCATGTAACCGTATGTGCACATAGGGTAATGATGTCTGATTCATTCTACTATCTTTCCTACCCCTATGCCCCCTCCCCTTCCTTCACTCCCCTCTCTTCTAGTCAAAAATACCTCTACCCACCCCCCCACCTATTGTGAATTATCATGCTTTCTCTTTTAAAAAGCAATTTACTTGCATCTCTGCCTGGCTAAAGTCAACAGGATATTTACATTCCTCAGCAGCCATTATCTGCAAGGGAAATGGACCCTGAAATGCTTTTAAGAACACGTTACCCTGAAATGGGGAACTTTGTGTGACTCTTTCACAGATCAGAGCCCAGAACTGAATTAAGGATAATTCCTCCTAACCATAAAATCTATTAAGAGATTCCAGAGTCTGTGGTTGTAACTCAATGGTAGAGTGCTTGCCTAGCATGCATGAAGCACTGGGTTTGATCCTGAGAACCACATAAAAACAAGTAAAGGTATAAAAAAATACAATAACATTTAAAAAATTAAAAGAAAAAAAGAATCCAACTAAAACCATCAAGGGCCAAAGTGACCTGGAGCTGACATGCGCAATGAGGACTTTTTGTTCTTTTTATTTATGCATGACAGCAGACTGCATTTTGACATATCATACCAACTTGGAGTACAACTTCCCCTTCTTGTGGTTGAACATGATGTGGAGTTACACTGGTTGTGTATTCCTATATGAACATAAGGAAGTTATGCCCCATTCATTCTACTCTTTCCCATTCCCCTTCCCCCCCCTTCCCCCCCATGCCCCCTGTCCAATGCGGTGAACGCCCCCACCATTGTGAGTCGGCTGCTTGTCAGAACATTTGGCCTTTGTTTGGGGGTGTCACGAGCAGCTTCTCAGCCTTGTCTGGTTACCAGGAGTTCCTTTCCGGATATCTGTACTGGACCCCGGACCGCGACGTACGCGAACACCAAGCACGAACTCGATTGCCTTTTGAAATGCTGGTTTATTCGCACACCACACAAAGCAATACACGAGGTGGCTGGCACACAACTGCACGATCTTACTCTCAGGCGACGAGAGTTAGTTGTGAGCAAATACATGGAGTTTCCCTCGCGCTTATATACTCTATATGTTTACAACAAACTTGCTTATGTCTAACTTATCTAACATAAGCACACTACCTAGTTACATCATCAACTTATCTAACATGGGCATACTATCTAGTCATCCTATAACCAAAACATGTTTACAACTAAAAAGTCACTTAGTCACTGCAAAGTCCAAAACAAGTCCAAAACAAGTCCTTTTGCTGATTCATGTTGTTTATTCATCCTTGATGTTTACTCCTGTCATTCCACCCCCTTGATACGGAGGCGCCGATGGTACTGATGGTGCCGATGTATCAAAGCAACAAGTACGGTCCCCTGTCTTAGGTCGTCCATTCGGAAGTTGCCCGTCCTCGGGGAAACGTATGGGCTGTCGCGGCCCTCCAAACCAATCTTCAGATTGGAAGATGCAATCCACGGCATCCATGCAGCCACCGACCACACAGGAGTGCAGAAAAGGATGAAGCATAGCACGAAACTCACAGCAGAAGGGAGCTTTCACTCTTGGAACGAAAAGTTGTTTCAATCGTAAATAAAGGTCCAGATCCAAATCCTTTACTAGCAATAAATCTATCACCAAATTGTGAACTATCATAAATGGATAATTAACATCTTTTTCAGAGAACATCGGAATTGGAGTCATCCGGTCCTTCCTGAATAATAGGTCGTTCCTCAGCTTGCGTCCTAATATCCGTTTGATGATTATCTGGTCCACAGACATAGTTCCTCAAGAAATTCTATAATATTAACCAATCTTAGGTAAGTGTTGATGATAATCCACATAAGTCCATAATTTAATAAAGTAAGGCTTACAAATGTTTCTTAAACATATGTTAAATAAAGATCTAGGAACATATGTATTCCTCTGTCTGCATTGTGAATTGATTCTGCACAATAAATCATCACCAAATAATAATGATCTATTATAGTTAAGCGAAATAAGTCCATTAACATAAAAAGCACCTGCATTAGATTGTAAGGTTAATAAATCATGATCAGACTTCATCACTTCAGTGAACAATCCAAATAAAGCCTTAACACACAAATGTATATCATATCTACAATAAACATCACAGTGCGAATTAATATTAGGAATACAATTCCAGACATGATTTAAAAACATACATAAAGAAGGTACAATACCCTCTAGATGTTTATCCAGCGGACACCATGGTCCACTGCGTAATGTTACTAATCTACATAAAAAAGAAAAACGTTCCTGACCAAACAGTGTATATGCACTATATGAAAACCATGTATTTACATGAAATTCAATGCAAAGATGACAATTTGCGTAGTGCAACTGTTCAGAATAATTCCTCGATCTTTCCGTCCTTCTCCTTCTTGGATTTAATTTTCTTAGTGCCTTTCGCTTCATGGTCCCTGTAATGTTGAAGTTTATCCATTTTAATGTAAGTTTTCTTTCCTGCAGACTTATTAATCTTTAAACAAATCTTAATGCATAATACAAATAATACGAAACAACATACATATAGCAATCCTTCCTTAAGCCAATGGAAAGGGTTCCATCTCATAATGCAACTAACATCTGCATGAACTAATTTTCTAAAGAAACCTACAAAACTACAATCATAAGTATACTGAAAGTCACGCGGAATCAAGTATCCAGAATCAACTAACATTTTAACTTTATGAGTTTCACCTGAAAATCTTTGGAGAAGTTCAGTAGTTTGGTTATGTACTGTCTCAATTTCCTTTCCTAATGAAGCATAAACGGATTTGGCTGCCTCTGTTGCTTTCATCATATTTTTATATTCTTCTGACAGAGGTGGCTGGGGTACAAAAGAATGTAACCCAAAAGTATGATTAGACATATAAACCACCTGAGTCAGGACTCGTAAGTTTTGCGTAGCAGTAAAATACTTAGACCTAAATAGATGTTTCTTAACAGTTAGATTCATATGTTCCATCATCATGACATTGGAATGTACATGACAACCAGCATTCAGACTCAAAG